AAAGGTGATATGCTTGGTGGTCTTTGGAAAGTGCAGAGCGTACTGCTGCGACACGTCGAAGAAAACCATTCATTCCGAGTGCAGCAGAAGCGGTTCGACGTCAGGTTGAAAAGAGTCTCAGATTTTTCCTCTTTTGCACAACGAGATTTTCTGTTTACGGATACAGCGAGCAGCGGCCATTGTTGCCGTTCGTCTATTGTTCCAGAAAGCGTTTAATTCTCCGCTTCCATTAATCATCGGGTCTTTTTATAGACGCGTTTAGTGAAATGTCTAATTTTAATTCTACGAAATTGAAGATAAAATGAGAGGAGAAGAGCTGAAGATGAGCGCCCGAAAATAAAACCGATTACAGGAGTCCGTCTAAACCTGTTCTGCACAGCATCCAAATATGAATTACATATTTGTCGCCGGATGCTTGCGCCAAAAAATTGATAGGAAAAACCCTTGCTGTCGCCCCTGGCAACCCTTCGATTCAAGGCCGTCGCGTTGTTTGTTTGCCTCTTCCAGCTCATCCCGGTTAGGATATCCGGAAGGAAGTTGTGTTTTGCTTTTGCAATCTGCCGAACCGTATTGATTTTTAAGTGGCAATTACGAATTCATGAATCCGACTAATGAATAAACGTCGGGGCGAGCGCGATTAATTATTGAGCGGCGACGCTTTTATCGATTCAGTAAACAAAAACAAACCGCCACAACAATAACACGAATGTTTTTGTTTTTGTACGAAAGGAGAGAGGGGATCCGGTTTTCGCGGTTGTTTTTCGCGATGCCCAGAAAACGTTTATTGAAGTTGGACTTTCGTATATGAGTAATGCTTCAAACATTATTTATGTTTCGCAATATCCGAGTTTATTGATTCTTCCCGTCACCACGACTCTTGTTCTTCCCCTCACTTCGCACTTCGACAAAGCTTTCAGCAATTTATAAAAAGCCATCCGGTATATTTCATCTTCAATTCAAACCATCTCTGCTACTGCGAATAATAAATATTATCTTGTACACATTACAACCGAATAAGCAATAAACTAATCAGTTAATTACACACAAAAAATTGTTATTTGTCTACAATATGTGATGGCATGAAGCCCATGTTTACATTCCTTACAACGTATTTTTTCAAAAAATGTTATACAATTCGTTGTAATTGTGTAAAAAGTTGTACAGTGGAACCTCGCTTAACGAGTTTAATCCGTTCCAAAATTTCCGGATTTTTACTCGTATAGTGAAATACTCATATAGTGAAACATATTCAAAAATACACATATGTATACACAAGTTTTGAAAATGATGTAGCAGGCGCGCAATACGGGCATTCTCTTCTCATCGTCACTCGTTATGCAAAACGTCGCTCGTTAAGCGAGGTTCCACTGTATATTTAAAAAAAACAACTCTAACGAATACTCAAAGAACTTTCTGAACATTAAGACGCACAAAATACAATTTTCTTCATTTATAATCTAATGCTAACTAAATATGTGTCTTGAAAACGCTTAATTATTCATGCGTTTACTATTGTCAAATTGTTTAATAAACCTAACATGGATATCTAGTTTAATTCTATATAGTTTCATTAACATTATTTCCAACTATCTCAAGGCAGAAATCATCAAATAAAATGTTTGTTATGATTTTGCTTAAGTAATTTCAATTAAAAATTTTGTATGTTTGTATTCTTCCAATATAATTTACAGGATGAAAACAAAACTATGTAATCATTATTATAATGTTAGTAACAAATCAGTAGTAATTACCTACAAAGATACGTATATCTTTAAGCCTTGATTGAAAGTGGTTCATCCTTCGCGTGTTACTGCATCATTTCAATACGTTAAACATTTGTGTGTCGAGTCCATCCTTAACATATTTTTTATTCTGCCTACAGCATTGTGTCAGACTCATTCAACAACAACAAAAAAAACTTTACAACATTGAAAGTGAAGACTTAATTTCATGTAAACATTGTAAATTCTGAGATTAACTGAATTTGTTTTATTAACGATTGCAATTGTTTTAGAGTTACACAAGTTATTAAATAATACAATGAAAGCTGTCAGATGATTTTTTTCCCTTCCTATAACTAGAATTATAAATAATTGCTGTAGATATGAACTAGTTTATTATAGAATTAATAGTGGCTTAAAGTATCTCCACAATTTATATACATTTTGCATCCATTCCATTGTTTAATATTTGATTTAGCATTGTGTGTATGTAATAAATAATAAAATTTTATTTCCTCATTTTCTTTTAGTACAAAAGCAATTACAAACCATAACAAACGACATTCCGAATCGCGTAAAACTAACGTAAAATTTAAAAAACGCAGCTGCATTCAATAAGCTTCGTTTCATTGATTTCTTAGTAGTTCGAAATGTGCACTTAACGTATGGGTTCCATACAGACTCGAACATGACATACATTTACATTTGATTATAACATACATACATTACATACATTTGATTATAAAAATAAATAAATGTTACAATAAATCAACATCTAATAACGAAATTTCAATGCAACATTCTCCACCTTCCACAAGTCTGTGATATTAAAGATTCAAAGTGTAAATAATGAAATATCGATTCACTTATTCATGGACAACCGTCAATTATGACATTAACGGCGATAAGCGCAACTCGATTTGCGCAAATTGGTGCGATCCATACAACGTAACAACAATGTTACATGGTGCGCGATGTGCTTGGAACCATCAGGTTTCGGCGCAACAAACAAAGAAAGTCCAAAAACACAAATTAAAATGCAAATGCTCGCCCGTAACGAGACTGCGGGGTCTCGTTATAGTCGTCTTTCACCCCTATCGGCGTTTCCGCGTATATATATATATACGCGACACGCGGAGGGAAAGGAATAATATTATGTAAAGCAAGTGGAAACAGCTCGAATATTAACCAAGTCCGTAGTGCCCTTGAACGGAGGGTTGCTAAGGTAACGAGAAACGAGCTTCGGTTTTGTTTTCCTCTTCCTCACTTCTTACTTTCACGCTACTTCGCATCTCATCCTTCGACGCAATACAGTCTTGTACTTATTTACGAAAAAAAAAGTTTAATAATAATAACGTTTCACTGAAGATTATACTCCTATTTTCAATCTTCATAACAAAAATCATCTTTTCCTAGAAATTAATCTAAAAATATTGTGCAACAATGCATTAATCACGAGTTACAAGAAATTGTTAGATTACTAAATTTATTAATTATATACATACAAATGGCTTTAAATTGTCAGCAACATAATTTAAATATATTAATGATCGTGACTAAGCAGGAAAATACCGTGAATATTAAGAATAATTATATTTTTTACTTATTTATTATTTGATTACAGTGTATTATCATGAGACTGAAGCGGAAAGTGTAATGTTATCATGTTTTACAAAATATCAAAGATAATTTTACGTAATTACAAACTGTTGTTTATAGTAACAGATACCTTTTGCTACATATTATTCTGAAAATATTTTGTTTCTGGAAACATCCGTTTCTAGTTGAAACTAACGTCAATATAATTTAATTAAACCAACTCATATTAATGCGTTGCGTCATTTTGTATAATCCACTAGGTCTCAAATTAAATGATTCGTTGATTGTTTTATATAATTCTATGAATCATATTATTTTAATTTGAAAAGCCGCAACAATTATTCAATTGTTTATGTAAATTATGTAATACCAAAACAAAAAAACTTCCAAATTATAGATATTTCAAAGATTTAACTTAAGTAATATGTACTTATTTATTTATTTATTTTGTTGAATTGACTTTATAATGTTCTATTTTTTTTTAATTTATTAACATTCAAATAAACATGACAAAAAGCAATGTATTATAGTTGAATAAACGAGTCATGGTATATTATTTGAACAATTAATATTGGTAGTCATAGCAAAAAGTGTTGTTTATTTATATACAAATGTTATAATATACGAGTCAAGTAAACTTTCCTGAATGTAAATTAGACATCCATTAAGAATTCCTATAATTTTGTTATATATTAACATAAATTCATATTTGTCTGGAAGTTTTTTCTTTCAATTCGTTATCAACCGCATTGTTGTCCTTCAGCTGTTTGTGTAGAAAATCTTCCAATTATAGTATGATTCTATAATTGTTGCATAGTTATTATATTTTTTACTATATACTTACGTATGAATCTGTGTACTATTCTAATAGGTCACAGATAATAAATGTTGTAGTTACTCATCCGTAACCGAGCGTATTTACTACATACGGTGTTGTTCAACTATTGTTGTTATTAAAAGCAGGAAGGTTGTGAATTTAATAAATGGCAAGCTGCATATGTATACAACGCCCATGTTGCGAAATAGTAAGCAGGGAGAAATTGGCAGTAATAGAAGTTCCGCATGTAGGGAACGGGCATGTATCGATGAATCATTTGAACGAAAATTGCAAGGCCAGTGAAGGTTGGCATTAGACGCGACTGCAATTGGTGCAGACGCGTGTGCAAGGTTTTTCTTCTCCATCGCGGTGACATTGGGTGCTGTGTGGCACGCATGCATGTTTTGCGGAAGACTGGAAAGGTAAACAACGGGAGATGAATCAATAGAATCCATCCCTATGAGCGACGAGACGAGCAGCAACGATTAGTTTTACCGCAAAATGTATTATTTGTTATTGTTTTTCGCAATGTTTATGTTGTTGGCTGGACGCTGCTGTTTGCAGGTGAAGGAGATGCGGATGATGGAGGGGAAGTGTACGGTGTTGAGCTGAGACGTGCGACCTTGAAGCCCTTGACCAAAACGGCGAGTCGATATCTCTGGGAGAGTAAAAGCTGGCGGGGGGATGCGAGGGGTGGAGAAGGGGGAATGCCGTCGGGATGATGGTTGGGGCGGAGTGATGCGGGGGTTGGTGAGGGCGAGAACAGACCCTGGGAATTGGGCTGAGAGGAGGGAAGAGTAGAGAGAAAGACCGGGCGCCATCTTCGATCCGGCTCACGTTTGTTTACAAATCAGGATATTTACCTCGAACTGCCAGTGGGCCGCCTGCAGGAGCTGCTTGGCCTGGTCGCGGGCGCATCCTGCCGCCAGGACAAATTGATTGATCATCACCTGCTCCCTCAATGTTGCAGTGTCCATCTTGTCGTTGTTGTTTATTATTGTTGTTGTTATTATTGGTTGCTATTAGTGTTACTGATTTTTAAACTTCGTTACCAAACAACAATAACAACACTCCTTTGTTTATCTATATGAATTTATACTTTTGTACTACTACTGTTGCTATATAGGTATGGCCTGTATCAATCTAGTTGCTCTCTGTTGTTAGTATGTATATATGTATACATATATGTGTTACTTGTATATATATATATATTTGTGTGTGTGTGTATAAATCGGTGTAGTAGTACAGACACGCACACGATCAGCCACGCTCCGTGCGTCTCACTGCAGAGACGTTGTTTTGAAAACTGCTTCCCTCTCGTGCTCTCTCCGCCCGCCGTTCCAAACAGACGGCCGCCCCACTGACGTCACCCAAACGTACTCCAACGGCGTGTATCCTCGTTGGCTGCGCCGCTCATTCATCAGTGGGGGGATACGTTACGTTCGATTCAAAATTTCCCGCTGATTTCATCCACTATTGGCTGATGATCTGGACCAAATGTCGGCAACCGGTGGCCCGCGGGCCACATGCGTCCCACCCACATCCAATACAACAAATGTAAAGCCGGCGAAACACTATGCGATACACGTTAACTACACGCTTTCAGCACTAGTTTCCTAATACATGCTTGTACAAGTTTTTATTCCTAATTATTTACAATTGTTTGCGGTTGTGTTTATGAGATTGTACGCTTTTGTATTTCTACTTTACTTGGCAAATATCGATGTTCGTTCATGATAATCTGAAGTTATTTAGATAGGGGATAAAAATTTATTTTTTATAGTAAATCGTACATAACTGCAAAATAGAAATACTGAACTTTTTCATATTATTGTGACCTTGAAAATATCTTGAGGGATGAAAGGACTTTACCTTTACTCTGAATGATGCAATGACTACGCTGTATTGTAAAATAATTAGAAATTGTTTTCCGGACACAATATTACATTTAATTTCTACGTTTTGCAAAATAACTAGAATTCTTTGACTAATCTTAAATACCTGAAAAAGATTTTTAAATTATATAATTGTATATTCAAGTACTTTGTAATATAGTTTTGTTGACAACTTGAAATTACGAGAATTTGTTAATGATATATTTGCTTTACTAAGAACAAAATTACAATATTCTGTTTCGATTACTAACTTCGCAGTTATTGGTATTTATAGCAACTTTGATTTATCGAAAAAAAACATCGTTAATTGTTTTATCAATGGTAAATTGATAATGATTAACATTAAAATAAATATTATGTTGTTTGTTATTTATTGTATAGGCGTTTTTAATTAATTAATTATTTTTTTATTTATCTGATATATAAGATGTATAGATCTGTTATACTAATTACTATTATAATTTATCGAATGTTTAACTTGTTTTCATAAAAAATTTCATCAATTATTTAATGTGTGCTTGGTAAATAATCACGAATAAGATGATTAAATTTTAAACAGGGTTTGGAAACTTTCTATTGGAAAATACTCCTTCCTTTCTGCGTACGCATTTACCGTCTACCACCCCCGCTATTTACCAATTTATACATATATACAACTATATACATATAGATATTTGACCTTTCCCCCCGGATGTATATACCCCAAGACACCGTTTCGATTCCCGGGTCAGTGAGATCCTTTCCTCGCGCAACGTGAATCCCCCAGTTCTACTATGTTTACTACCCACCATTTGGGTTTGGTCTCTCGATCAATGATCAAATCACACGTCACACATGATTCATTAATAAAACAGCAAATAATCCATCATTTCAGTTACAAGTCAAAACCGTGATATAGTCAACTGCACTGAAAACATAGACATATCAGCTTACCCAAACACTTTTTGCAACATTAATATTAAAAAAAAGGTATGAACACTATGGTCAATATCTATCTTTGTGCATATATACAATAAATTCTGATTATTATTAACTGAGATTTATAAAGTTTTTTTTTTTTTGCAAATGATTCCTATTTGAATTCTGTCTTATATATTAAGGAGTAGTACACTAGAGTGGAACCTTGCTTAACGAGCAAAATGAATTGTAAGAAAAACGAGCAACGTTTCGCATAACGAGTGAAGATGAGAAGAGAAGTCCCGGAATGCGCGCTTGCTACATCATTTTTAAAACTTGTGTACATATATTTTGTGTATTTTTGAATAGGTTTCACTATACGAATAAAAATCCGGAAATTTTGGAACGGATTAAACTCGTTAAGCAATCTTCTTGGATTTTTGTTTCTAATACGCATACTTTCTGACTTAATTGACAATATGAAATGTTGCTTGAATTTTTCTATCTCTAAGTAGGATTGATTTATTTTTGAATTTCAATGAACATTATTAATTATCTATTTTCCTGGTAACTATATAAAGTATTCTGAAAGACAGGCATGAAAATAACGATTTCTCAGGCCAAAAATAATATTAGCAATTTTTATGCTTCTTCTACTCAGTAGGTAAGCCATTTTTGTTCTGCATTTTGAGTATTATTTAATACTTATTAATCAGGTCGAAAAATTAATTTAAAATGTACAAGTAATTTTACTAGGGAAAAGAGAACCAAATTATAATTTGTAGATTAGTTTTGTTAATAAAAATAATATTTATTGCAACAAATTACTAAAATATAAACTTAATATTGTAACAAAAATAAAACTAAATTAAACTACTGCAAGTACTATTGACCATAGTTTTTCTGCTCTAGTTCTGTTATTATACTAAATTATGGCTGCAGACTGTTTTTTTTAATAACAAACACAACACAACAACCAATAAAGATATTTGAAAGAAATAAAACAAAAATATAGTTTTGAATACTTAAATTAATTTATTCGTGTCTGTACAAAGTTTGATTTAAGTATGAAAATTATATAATAAAATGCATTTGAATTCATGAAGTTAACCCTTTGAGCACGTCCCCTAACAGTAAACTATCCAAAGCTTTCTGAACCGAAGGATCATTCAAGAGCGGAGCATTCTCTGGACCGGATTTCTCAGTTATCCTTGGCAAATCCTCTTCTTTCTTATTCAATATACTCATGATGCGGCTCTGCAGCTCAGCTTGCTTAGTGACATGTGGTACAACTCCACCGTCGATACCTTCAGAGATTTCGAATTGTCCTTGCAGAACACGCCTCTCCTCAAGATATTTAATCAGTCGATCGTATTGACTCGTCTTAATCTGCCTGTTTTCAGCCAACAGATTGATCACGACCTGTATATTCTCTGGATGTCTACTGTTCAAAGTCAATTTGTCGCTTTGAGTATCCGTCGATCCACCTCTCATGTAAGCCTCAAAATTACGTGTGATGAAAACGAATGCGTCATCTGCAGGCATATTTCTGTGCTCTGTTTCAATAAAATGATTAATAGCGTTTACGTAAAGTCTAATGTTTAATTACCTTCAGGTACTCCGTGTAAAACGTTCAAGGTGAGCGATCTATGTTCTTCATTTTGAGGCATTATCAAAATAGCGTATAAACAACCTCGACTCGATATATTGGCTAATACCCGTCCAATAGGCACATCCTCATTGGGAAACAATAGATCAACTATTAAGCCAAGGGATTTTAAATGCTGCTCAATATATTCTGCATACTCTCTGTAAATTGTAAAATTTTCATGTGCAAAGTTGTTTGATGTAATAATAACTTACGTTAATGCTTTGGAAACTACAATAATTTCACAGTCGTTCCTTTCAGGTCTCTCAATATGTGGGGGAGGTTGATATGTTGATTGATAAGGAGGAGGTTCATAGTAAGGAGGTGCATCATCACGGAAGTCACGTTTGTTCATGCCTTGTCTGCCCTTATTGCGCTTAATCCTTTTATCAATAGGCATATCATCTTTCATGTGCTGACCTTGTTGCAATGGTTGATGTTGTTGAGGAGCTTGATGCTGTGGAGGAGGAGCTTGATGTTGAGGAGGAGGAGCTTGATGCTGTGGAGGAGGAGCTTGGTGTTGAGGAGGAGGAACTTGATGTTGTGGAGGTGGTGCTTGATGTTGAGGAGTTGCAGGATGTTGTGGAGTGTTAGTCTCTGATGGCTGTTGGACAACTGGAGGTTTTTGTGTTATCGGTACCTGAGGTTGCATCAAAGGAGGAATATCATTGTGCGGCTTTCCATTATCCTCTTTTATAAGCGGAGGAGGCTTCTGCTTATTACTTTGGAAGTCTAAGTAGTGCTGTTGCATCTGCTGCTGCTTCTGCTGGTTGGCCTTAGATCTTGTGTTCTCGATGGCTTGCCTCACATTTATCTTGCGACCAAAGAGCATAGTTCCATGCTCGTTTTTTATTGCCAACTCTGCTTGCGATTCGTTTTCGAATTGGATGAAACCGAAGCCGCGTTGCACGACCAAACCAAGAATTTTACCATGAGAACCAAACTTTTCTTCCAGGTTATTCGGCACGACTCCTTCCGCCAGATTTCCAATGTAGATCCTCGAAGAAGCCGTCGCCGGATTCTTCATAAACTGCTTGTCTGTCCGGTACATTTTAACAAATAAATTCACAAATTTAAACCAAATCACAAATCTTCAAGACAACTTTGTAGTATAGTAAACAATACCAAACAATACTTTGACATGAGAACTGTCAAAAACTAACGTGAAGTATTCTGCATAACTCAACTGCAACTATTCAAAATAACTGAAGTGAAGTTAGCTGCAAGAAGTGCAAAACAATGTGCATTTGACAGTAGAGGAGAAAGAATTGAAAGTCGTTTGTCGTTTATAAAAAAGATTTGGCGGTTGTTGATGTTTTATATGTTGGTTAAGTGTTAAAAGTATATAGGAAAATGAGGAAGGTTCAATGGGTCCTCAGGAATATTTTCACTGATGAAAGGAGTCCTATAAACTCGGAGGTTTTCAGCATTGGTCGAGACAAAATACATAACATCGTTTGCAAGAATACAATCATTTCCAGAGACCATGCTAAAATCTACACACTCGCTAATAATAAATTACAAATTGTTAATTGTGTAAGTATTCGAAGGAATATAAAGAAACGTTTACAAGATGTAAAGAAACATATTAGAAAGTGATGCAACAAATATTAAAATATAGATTATAGTTGTTTGACTATTGTTATTGTTTATGTCCAATGTTTTACATTCATTTTGTTACTGTATAGTATAACATTTAGTAATGATAAGGGTTGTAGTTATTATTTACGATGTAGTTCAAATTGATTTTAAAATCCTTTTTACACTTATGTGAATGAATATTTTCTTTTTGATTGAAATTGAGTACAGTTTCTGATTGAAAATTGATTAAATATGAGTAATATTCCATTAGTTTATAATATTTTATTGAAAATTGAAATACAAATGAAGTTTCTTTATTGTATAAAAATTTGATGCTTTTTTGGTATTTACAATGATTGTCATTGATTCCTGACTGAGGCTCTACAAGATAGTTTTTTTTTTATAAAATTACATGCCAGGGTTTAGTTCGAAAATATTGGGTGAATAAGAAATACGTTCATAACATGAGGTTGGTAAAGATGTCTTTAAAAAACCCCTATGTTCAGGACTGAAATACTTAAGTTAAATATTTCCTTGATTTTTTTGGTTACATTTCAGGGTGGAAAGACTATGTTAATTTTATTATTATATAAAAATTAGAGAATACTTTGATTAAGGCTGCAGTCAATATGTTTATTATTACTTTGAATAAAAAAAACTATTTGTATTGTTTTCTTAATAGATATGATACAGCACAGGTACAAAGTCGGATAATGTATACATTTTCCAAAAACTGATGTAAAAGTAGATTGAAAATATTGATATATAAACTGCATTTACATTATCTAGAAAATGTACACTGTAACTTCACTGTTTTGGAGAATGTGAAATTAATGGGGAGCTTGAATAAGTATGTGCTTAGATCCTATGTAAATATATAATTATTACGTTTTTAAGAGATAAATTAATAATAACTGCCATATTATAACAACACTATCTTACAAAAAGGCGTTGTAAATCATATTATACATAAAACTAATTTATGGCTTCATTCACACATTCGCCAACCACCACATTTAAGGTGATGTTCTTTTCCCAATTTTCATTGGAAAATGTGTAATGAATGTACATTCACCAAATGGCGTGAATTGTATACATTAACTGGGAAATGTATAGAATATCCCGAATATACTGCAACATGTATTCTTGGAAATATTCAAAATAGTTTTCATCTTATTTTAAGCTTTATTGAATCCAATCTTATAATTTTTGGACTAAATCTTCATCATTCACTTTTCAAAACATTTTTAACTTTAATATCTCTACATTATCTCATTTTCATTATTTATAATAGCTGTTAGTGATTTTCAAACTTAGTCTCAAGGTTTATTGCTTACACTGTCTTTGTTTTTTATGTAAATAAAGATGGTTAATACTTATGATGTGGTCAAGACTAAATATAATTGTATAGAATCGTTTTTATAAGTAGATATTATCTGACTATTGAAGTGCATTTCTTATAGTTCTTGAGTTGATGTATAATTTGGACTTTTCAGAGTAAGACGAACGCCACATTCGTCAACAATAAACAAGTAAATTCACACGATTTAGAGTTGCAAGAGAAAGATGAAATTGGATTTGGTGTGTGCAAGGCTGACTACAAGGAAAAACAAGCCAAAGCACCTTATTATATCTTCGTGTTGGAAAAGGTGGAACACAACTCGTCCATTATTGTAATTGACGATGACGATTCTATGCTCGACTCAGATAATAATGAATCAATTGAAGTAACTGCATTGATTCATAATGAAAATGAAGATATAACAATTGGTGGTAATGTTAACAGTGAAAGCGGAAGCTTGCCTGGAACAGCAAATCCGAATGTCGAACAGTTACCGATATCAATGGAAGTAACTGCATCGATTAACAATGAAAATGAAGAAATTACAAATAAAAACTATTGCTTGCCTGGTACATCAAATTCAAAAGCCCAACAATTACCGTTACGAAAGGAAGTAACTGCATTGATCAACAATAAAAATGGACATGTTACAAATGGTGGTAATAGTACAAACTATTGCTTGCCTGGTACATCAAATCAGAAAGCCCAACAATTACCGTTGCCAATGGAAGTAACTGCATTTATTAATAATAAAAATGGAGTAATTGCAAATGGTGGTAAAGTTGATAATAAAAGCGGTTGCTTGCCTGGAACAGCAAATACGAAAGCCGAACAAATGCCGTTTTCAAAGAAACTAACTGCATTGATTAACAATGAAAATGAATATGTTACAAATGGTGTTAATAATAAAAACTATTGCTTGCCTGGAACATCAAATTCGAAAGCCCAGCAATTGCCGCTATCTAATGTCGTTACCAATATACCTGACGAAAATTGCTTTGGAAAACAAATTGCAAATGTGAGTAGTACTTGTTATCATTTCAAGATTGTTATATTTTTAATTTGTAGTGTTTACCAATTGCTACTGCTTGTAACAGTGAGGTGAATAATATGAATCCCATTATTAAAGTAAAAGTCGAATTGAACAGGTCTAGTCATGTTGATGAAAATAAATGTAATACAAATGAAACCAATATCCATTCCGAAAATAATCAATTAAGTATAAATAACCAAGTATGTATTACATTTGTTTGTTTAAATCAATCTAATGTAAAAAAAAACTTAAATATTTTTAGCCTGTGATAGATGTTAATATGGAAATGGAGGATCCAAAAGATGATATTATTGAAATTGTTGATAATGATGTCGATAATGATGACGAATATGATTTCATGTGTTCGCAAATGTATATAAAGACAGAGGAATGCGAAAAACCTGACGAACAAACCAAAGTAGGGGATGATAATTTTTTGCATATTAAGAAAGAGATAGCAGCAATGGACGATTACGATGAACAGACATTTCTGCCACCGATAGATATCGATTGCTTATCTATGGATAGTTTCGACTTGCAAAAAGAGTTGGAAGATGCAGTTAGGGAACCATCACCGGTGGCAGAACCTGAACTGCAACCAGAAAGGATTTCGCCGCAAGAGGCAAATAAACTTACTAACGTGGAGCAACAATTAACGAGCAAAAGAACGGAACTTATTGAAGCACTTCCGCAGCCTGTCAAGCGCAGAAGATCCAGTGTTAGTGCAAGTGTGCAAGACCGCAAAAAAGTAAAACTGAAAGAAAAAACGAAGCCTCCTACTCCTATAGCTTCGACTAGTAAACAAGATGTTGATAAAATTAAAGAAGCTCGAAAGGACAGGCTTAAGCAGATCGAGCAGAATAAGAAGACGGAAGCTGACGTACCTAAGCCATCGACATCTCGAATTCGACCGCCAAGCGTTTACGTTAAAGTATCCAAGGGACGAGGGAATTTCCTCATTCAGGACAACGTGTTGAATCCCAAAGATATACCAATCGTGCATAGAGATAAGCAGTATTGCACAAACTATGCGAACGAGAAGTACGGCGACATTATAGAAATCGTATTGGATTGGAAGTTTACGTGGTTTAGGAAATATAGTTCGGGCAATTACCAGGAATTGCCGCCAGTCACGAAAAAGCCGATTATAAAGATGTGCAACACTTTTAGTAATTTTAAAAATTATTATGATGTTCTGCAACCATTGATTATGGTCGACTATTGGTTCAATCTTAGTTCTGAAGTTCAGGACAACAGTTACGGAGACGTAAAAGCTAGGTGAGAGGGTGCCTTACATTGATAAAGTAATTTGTGAAAACACATTCTTTTAGTGATCACTTCTATGCTACTGCAGAAGTTTCAAGGAAAAAGCCGCATTCAGAGATGCTGTGCACAAGTAAGTATTATAAATAAAAGAATTGGTGATGTTTGGAGTTACAGTGATTATGTTTAAAGCTTATATCACATCGGAGCAGAAGTGTAAGATGATGCACGTGAGGGAACAGAATATTATAACCATAGCTACTAAATTGAACCGTTCGTCAGCGGAACCGACGACTCTTTTCGGTGTTGTAATTTGGGTTAAAGTTGATCTGATTCAAGCAAATGAGAACATTGATAGTAAATGTAAGTTTCTTTGTTTAATCTATTTAGTTCATCTGAAGTAATTTCTTTCGTTCCAGATGTTCGTAATAAATATGTAAAACTAAAGTACAAAATAACTTTCCTAGCGCTGGTCAATATTAAGGAAGTTACCGATAATAAATTATCGATCTTCTGTAGATACTTTCCATCATTTAACATATTCTTGAGACAAGTCACAGCTATCAAATTGTTAAAAAATTCGCCTCTTCTGGATTACATTTTATATCCCAGACCCGAAAGATACTTGATGCCGTCTATACAGTCAAGATCTTTGACGCACCAGAGGGTATAGTATTGCTTTCTTATTTGGTGGAGTATTTATATAAATGTTTCATATGATTTTTATACCGTTTTTCTTATTTCTAGGTGAATTTAAACAATGAACAAAAAAGAGCGGTTTTAGAAGCATCCTATTTTATAATGGATAAGTCTGATGGTATTTATTTGATAAACGGTCCACCTGGAACGGGGAAATCCACGGTGATTACAAATATAATCTTGGAAGCTTTGTCGAGTCCAAATTTCAAGGGCAAGATTTTGCTGTTGGCGCACTCTAATTGCGCGATTGACTCGCTCTTGACGAAATTGATTCAAATTCGAAGTGAACTTGCGGGTAAAGATAATGCTTTATTTATATAAACTATAATATTTACACAAGGCAACTGTTCTAGGGCAATCGAAACATAAAATGAAATTGATACGAATCGGTAATCGAGCTTCGCCAGCTGTACAATATCACACATTAGATTATTTAACAGATTACAATCTGCGGATAAGTGTTATCAACGAGTGTCCGCAGCTGGAGAACGATTACAAGATTTTGAAACAGGATATTAAAGAACTTCAAAAGTCGCATAGCGCAGAACCAAATGGTAAGGAAGATAAATATGAGTGAATGTGTCTAATTCATTTTGTTGTAGATGAAACATATAAACAATTAACGTTAAAAGTAAACGAGTTGAAGAACTTTTCTAAAACGTATTTGAAGTACAGATTTGACAGCAAACATGAAGTTGAGAAGAATCGCGTGTTGAATGGAGCTTCAGTTATATGCAGTACAGTTGGTAGTTGTCTAAAACTACACTGTTCGAATTTGTACGTTTCTTTGTAGATCTTATTTAATATCTATAATATTTATTCTATTTCTTTAGCACTTCGACGATTGACGTGTGCATACTGGATGAAGCTACTCAGTGCACTGAACCGGACACGTTGATACCCATCTATCTGGGAGTCAAGAAAATGATAATGGTTGGTGATACCAAACAGCTTCCTGCCATCACTTCATCAATGGTAACTGAACTAACTCTCTGTCTGCAAACTTCAATCTTTAAACTATTTCTTGTTTTAGTATACCAAAACATATGACTATCACGTATCTTTGTTTTCGCGGATAAAACATAACATCTCAAAACACTCGCTCAATCCTATATTGACATTGAAGACACAATACAGGATGAATCCGGAAATATGCCGTTTTCCCAGCAAGGTCTTTTATGATAATGCTTTGAGGAACGATCTAGGTTACAAAAGCGAATTGAAGGAATTGAAACCGTACATTGTGTTCGCCCAAGATTTATCCCATCCGAATTTCTACTACAACACGAACGAAGTAGATTTAGTATTGAAGCTGATCGGTGCTATATCGGAGATCGGTGGCATTACGAAACATACGACATTAGGGATTATAACGGTTTATAGTAAACAAAAGGAATTGATCAAAAAGGCGTTGGCCAATAGACAGTAAGTCGGTTTAGTGTGATTACCAGTATAATTTAAAACTGATACTTTACATAATTTTCGTAGATTCCATCGTCTCCTCGACATACAATGTTCAACAGTCGATGGCTTCCAAGGCCAAGAGATGGACATCATTATATTTTCCGCTGTGAGGAATTACCCTAACAGATTCTCATCGGATGGACAGCGCATAAATGTTTCCTTCACAAGAGCAAAGCATGCTTTTTACATCGTTGCTTGCAAGAACCTATTTGACGTAAGACTCCATATAACCTAACGAATAATTAAGTAACAATTATATTTCAGACTTGCCAAATTTTCAAGGATGTGAAGTCGGACGCAATATATCGCAATACCTATTACATAGTGAAAGAAACGACGACTACTAGTTTAATTGACATCATAAAGAGAAAGTAAGCCGTCGATTTGTATTGCAAATTGTTAGATGCAAAGATAATTGTTGACCAATTGGTAGAATATGATTATAGACGCACTGATGTGTAATAGTAAATCGAATTTACGTATACATCAAATTCTAATGTTTATAATTCCAAACAAGAATTGCTACTTATTTTTATAATACTGATGATTGAAAAACCAATGAAAAATTGTGACTAATTTACGTATGAATATGTGATAATAATCCCCTAGATGTAAGTGTAAATATAGTTTTTTTTTAAGTCACCTTGAATCTTAATTTAAAAAAAAATGAATCTGTACAATCGCCAAATAAATTATCTATGTTGATAGTTATATAATATTTACTTAGTTTGTATGAAGAATATTCGTATTTGTTTTTGTTCTTAATTTACGAAACATGTGTAAGTTTTGTTTACGTGATGTTGTTATTTTTATTTTGGCTTGACCAGTGTTTATAAGATTTTAATAGAAATACATTACTTTTTGTATAATATTCGACTACTCTTTTACTTACCTTTTCAACACTTGTATTTATCAATTACGGATCGATTACTAAAAATAAATTTTTTATGCAGTTTATTCTATGCCAATTAATAGAAACTCGCAAATGCATACAAATACATTTAAAATGATTAACATCATTTCATATTGTGGAAATGAAGTCATAGGTGGGCAGTTTTTTTCATATTCATAATTTTTTTATAACTTTAAATACAAATTAATGATAAAATGATTACAATATTGGATAAATGAATGTCAAAAAGTATTTACTTAACAACATAAGAAATGGTGGAGGTGCAGGGTATTTTTTTTTAATTTACGTTCAATAACAAATAAATCAGAAATTGGGCCATAATTATATTAAAAAAAGAAATTAAAGAATATTCATAATATACTGCTGTAATAACTGTGGTACTTTACGTTTTTCTTATTTACTGTAAAGAAATAGTAGCATATAACATTGAACATGACATGACATGACATTGGAACAAATAATTCGACTTAATGTCCAATGTTTAACTATTTGTTATAAGACTCATGTTCAATGCTATAGAACTAATTAAGATTTGTTTTTATTTCAGGAAATATTTCATAACTGAAAAACTTCGATGATTTGCTTTTATTAACTTTCAATTTGCGTTGCTTGGAGGTGCTTGGAGATATATAATTGAATGTGCAACATCTTTTCTTTCTTTATATTAGATTATATTCAAAACATTATCGAGTGATTTGGTATAACGAAGATTTTCATTGTTTCGGGGTAGGGGGATTTGGATATACATTTCATGTAACTAAACGCTGGTAATACTATTAATCATGATTGGATCTACCTACCAAGATACACAGTAATAATGCATTCATAATGTCGACATGGAAACCTTACCATTCTTTCTCGGGTTTAATCCGCGAGGCTAATTTGTGTATGAAAGGTCCTCGTGAATGGCGACAATGGCAAAGTGGGGCATTTGACGGCGGGGTCCTTTGTACAGGACGCGCTGTCAACCGGGCATTGTGCAGAGGATGAATGAATAACAAATATCCAGCAGTTCGCAAATTAAAGAGAGAGTTGTTGGAGACAATGGAGAGATGACGACGACGACGACGCGAAAGGTGCGCGCTTTGGATAGATGGCGGAAGTGGTTCGGCGCCGAGATATGCGCCGCGACGCCGCTCTCTTATCTAAAAACCAGCAGTCAAGCGCCGCCAGCGCAACGCGCCAACCAACCAACCAACTATATACATACTACATACATACCTACATACAAAGAGAAAGAGAGTGAGAATACCACTCTCCTTTCTTTCCTTCAACCCAATTTCTTCACATGTGCACCCTGCGAGGGTGAAGAACGGGGCGAATAAGATTGTTCGTCAAAGAGAATAGAAAAAACCAAAGTCGGGACCGGAAGTAGTAACACACGGAAGAAAGAGATAAAAGCTTTATATAGAGTAGTAGAGTAACGATGAATGAATAGATGAGTACAATTTGTGCGTAAAGGAAGGTGTGCGTTTGAAATTCGAAGGGGACGTGTGACCGGCTCCCAGTTTCCCCTTTAACAAAGTACTACTCTTCAAATTAGTGAATCCTTACATCTTCCACGAAGGAAGATCATCCCACGAAGGTATCTGCGTCGCTTCCAAGGTGAGTTTCTCATTCAAAGATCGCAACAAAATACGCCCAGCTCTTCACGAAAACTCGAGCGATTCTCGCAGAAAAATAGACAAAAAGAAAAGCGCACACGGATTGTAGCCAAAAAGACAATTTCGCTCCACGCATATTAAAAATAAACAGTATTTTTAGCTGTTTCATGCCTCGCACTGCGCTGTTTATTTAATTATACTAAAAGACAAAAATCGTGGGTGTATCAAAATGTTCCTCATCTATTCGTGCGTATATAAAATATAGATATTTTTGTTTGCCGCTTCAAAATTTTATAACAAAACAGACGCAGAGAATGGTAGAAGATAGGAAGAGCGAGAGAAGCGATTTTCAATCGGAAGCGAAATGCGAAACGAAAATGAAAATAAATTTTGTTCTAAAATTAGAAGAATCGCGGGATTAGCGCGATTAACATTTGGATTCCATTAAATAGGCAATAGATGCAGCAGAAGTGATTTATCATCGCTCTGACCGCTCTCACCAGTTACCATGGCACGGTTCCTAAAGTTAGATGCAGGTGAGGATGTAAATGCGACTTTCGGTTTCTTTCGCACTTCAATGGCAATGCTGCAACATCCAAGTGCATCTTCTTGTTTTACTCTTTTTTTTTCGAAATTACAAAGAAACACACAATTTATAAATTACCATTAATTTCGTCGAGTTTCGAACGTCGGCTAAATACTTTTTTTGCGTGCAGAATTATTCAAATTTACGATCGCGATAACCGCCATCAGAACGCTCTATATAAGTAGTCATATCTTATCTAATATCAACAAATTTATTGCTGAAAATGAAATAATTAACGTTTTCTGTTCTTACGCGGCTTCTGCCCTCTCGATATATTCATTATCCACTTTACCTAAATCTAATGAATTTCAATAATAATGACTACACATATACTTGAATAATATTTGTATCATTTTAGTACATTTATATCAACGTTGATATTGTGTTATTTTATTACTTTTGTCTTCATTTTACAAAGCCACCCATAGTAATGCTCAACTTTGAGAAATAATTATTATGAAAGTATTTCCCTTAGCTCATTGTACATTTGTGGAAGCATATATGCAGTATAAATTATGTTTTATTATGATTTTATTATATTATATAAATATATATACTTTTATCTATAACACTAGTATAACTTCGGTCATAAGCTCTGTTCAAAATCAAATTAATTAGTTTCTAAATCAAGAAATTGATCATTTTGATTTAATGACAAATTAGTAGTTTTCATTTAATTGCAATTAAAATTCGTTATTATAATTCGTGTACTGAATTAAAACTTTTATGTTACAATATCCAACTGAGTTAGTTATCCAATATATCAAAAAAAAAACTTTTTCAGTTCAAATATCCAATTCCGTTCCAATATTCTTAAATCGATAAATAGAAATAGAAAAAAATCACTTTATATCTAAAGCAATTAGTATTTCCAAGTCCAAGCAATTACATAAAATCTTCTAATATTATTTTATTATTTATTTCTTAGAAAGTTTAATTCCACTGCTTGATGCTACATAATTATAATTATGACTTATCACTCTTGTAAATTTTCTTTAAAATTCCAGTAATGAAAACTCTTATATTTATAATCAACGTAGTGAAAATAAATCCTTAATATAATTGTTCAATTATAAACCCATTTATTACAAGTTTGATCATACATATTTATAGTTTTTTGCAGTTATAGTCGAATAACAGTTTGATAATTTTACAATATATTTTTTTACAAATGAATTAAATATGAATTTTAATGCGTATTAAGTAAAGATCATGTATCATATTTAAAACTACCTTACTAAAGCTTAGTACATTAACTTAGTTAATATTACAAAGAAATGTTATAAAATGATATGACAAAACTGTACTTAAATGCGTTAATAACTTAATTTGTATCCGCTTCAACAGAACGCAGATCATTTGCCAGAGCAATAAATCTTAATAACACAGATATTCGTAATTAAGAGGGAATGTTCTAAGCGATTACAATAACTTTATTGAAACTTTATAATTGATAAAAGTGAAAGCGAATATTAGTTATAATTTATATGTAATATCTATAAAGGTGTAACTAGAAAATATGAATACCCTTTATCCCAAACATTTCTAATTACTGTAGATATACATTGAGTAAATACGTCAATATCCTTGCTTTATTATATAGTATTACCTTTATTTGCATAAATGTCTGGCACAAATGTAAAGCAAACAACATAAATGTCCCCAAATCGCGAGGCTGTTTACTCTGCAGACTCACCTCAACTGAACTGTTGTTTCGTTCCATTAAAGCGAACAAGTAAAATAATTTGCAAAATGCGCCGAACAAATACATATAATTAGAATAATAATTTTCTCACTTAAAGTGTGTTTAATTTTGTTATTTAAATGCTTCCAGTATTGTTTGTCATAGATTTTAATTATTTACTAATTACTTATGTAAATTAAAAAAAAAAATCAGTAATTTAGTAATTAAATACTTTTGATATAATAAACAAATAAGTTCACATTTTCAAGAATTCTCATATTATTTATAACAAACTTGTTTAACTATTTATATGATTAGAAATAAAGAAAATAACAGTTTTGAATATTTGAAATCTATGGATTAATCATCTTCATGAATTTGTTAACGAAAAATGCAGCAGATATTCCAAACTACAACCGAACAAAGTTTGTTGACACCACCTGCCTTTAGTTTAGCAACTGGCATGCGCGAATAAAGAAAACAACGTTCCTGGAACGAATTACACACATTCGCACTCACAATGTTGAGAAACTTATGGATTTTCGGTTCAGTTGGCTTGGATTTGCATCTTTTGTCATCAACTTCATCTTTCCGAAATTAGTTCACTTTGATATAAATTTGTTAATTGCAATAATTTTCCAAATGATTCATGCTTCAAATTTGTTATTTACTAAACAAATGGTTCAATTTATATAAAATATTGATTCGAAATTCCATTAATATCAATTACATAATATATTTTATTTGTAAAAACTTTTATTGAAACAAAAATATTTAACAATATTTGATTGAATTCGTAGAAAACTTATGAAAAACATTTGGTATCCATGACAATTGCTACAAATTAACTTTTTATAACAAAATGTTTCAATATTTTGAGTGAAAATTCTTT